TAAATTTATGTAGAGGCGTACATCTGTTTGGGTAGTTTTGCCTTATCCGTAGACGCGAACGTATGATGTAGGATGTCTGATCCATTATTCTAGTTAACGTTCAAATCAGGCTACGCCGAAGACGAGGCCCACAGCCTTGAATTAATGTCTACATCAGCATAATTTGCCAGCAACGTTTTGCTTTACTGCACTCGATCAGTAATGGGAACGAGAAGCTAGCTGAGTGAAGCGTGGACGCAAAGATAGGCCCACGAAAAACAGGCTGCCCGAAGTAGGCCCTGAACCTTTGCAAGTTCTGCTATACATAGGTAAAATGATTATATAGAGATTTTACCAAACTGGTTATTATGGAATATTTTTGCGGGAAACGTTAAAATTACGAGTTACTGTTTGGGTTCCTGGAACTACAAAGATCGTCAAATTGAGGTAATCAGTCTAATTGTACCAGTAATCGAGTTTTGCTTGTTTGTTCCATCTTCCTATCCAATACAGCACGAGAATTGCGTATTTTGAACTACGTGAAGCCATTCAGGGTACACGCAGGAAAAGCGCGACCCTGCACAGCTATATAATGGGCGAATGTATGTGTGCATGTATTGTTAAGGGTGCCTACCCGTTTATTTCAGTGGATGTAGCAGCTTTTGCGTGCCTATTTGATGGAATGTCTGCGTTCTGCCATCCTCTAACTACTGGGAGTTGTTGTTTCAAACGAGTAGGAAGAAATACCATCAGCCATTCTAGCTTCCAAAACCTTCTAAGATCTTACCTAAGTCCGTAAGATCATTTCGCTCATCAATGAGCACGGAGTCGATGCCTAAGAAACATTACATCTTATGCCAGTTATGCGTACGAATCACTTCTTCGCCCTATCGCGTTCATCGACTCCTCACGCTATAGATGTTTCCACATAATACGAAAAATATTTAAAAAATCCAAACGACTTTACCATACGGCATAAAACCCAACTTCCTCTGTAGTGAAACAATAGAAAATTGTATTACAGATAGAATTCAAATAGATTCAGATAGAAATCAAAAGCACCGCCTGTCTAACGCTGTTGGTTGGCGGCAACCTTCTATAGTGTCCACCAAATGACGGGATGACAGAACTACACATTAAGGCACTGATATTATCTTCACATTGATACGGAGGGACTCAGCACCCCAGTAACCCTACCCATTTAAATTATAAGGAAAATAAATAATATACAGTTTATATTTACGGTTTATGAACTATTTTCTTTTAATACTGAAAACAAATGCATAGAACGACGAACGCATTTAAACTAAATTTATTTTACAATAAAATTTTGCTCCATAAAATAGCTGTATAACAATTTAGCTGCAATTTTCTATTGTCCTGTAATTGGTAATATCGGAATTAAAGTTCTTGTACGCATCAGTATGACGGAACAAGTCACAGGAACATTTAGATGCAGTCAAGTCCTCCTGACTGCCGACATAAAATGCTCGGGAAAAAGCTAACTTTTGCAAATAACTGGTAGTAATATAATACGGATCACGCCTTATTTCAGGAGACGGATCCTCATTTTAGTTTCAACTTATTCAATTGTGCTGCAGATCGAGGAATGAGCAGACATCCTATAATTTATTAATCTAATTTCAGTCGGCAGAAATAAAGAACTAGACGACGGTCAGATTAATTTGCGTGTTCCGATCATTCGTTAGTTTGTAACTATATATCTAAAAAAATGATAAAATCCTCAACGATTATGGATTTATGATCCGGTAGAAGCGGGTTAACAGCTAATAGAGAGTCAACGATACCCAAGTCAGGACATCAGCAATGAGAGACAAACTGACGTCGGTACTTCGAATATATCTGCCGACCTGATATTTCAGATCATTCAGCAATAGGTTGTTTACAAACGCCGCCTTAGTAAAATCTCCTTTTATAACTACATTATTATCATTCTAGTTGAGGCCAGATACGTTAATTACTATGGGGATGGTATTTAAAAACTAATCACAAAAGATGACTATATCCTATGTTTTGAGTCTTATGTTTGCTATCGCCGTTAGGCCATCATTCGCAAGCGGCTCACTGCAAACTCGACCCTTATAATTATTGAGATGACAACACACGAGCGTAGCTGGACATAAATCGCAATGACTTTCACAGGCACCTGGATAGTAACCCAATATGATCTCCTTGGAAAAGTTGCGAACCTAGCAATATGGCTGAATCGGTGGCGCGATTCGTATATTGTGGCAGCTTAATGCTGGCGTTGACTTAATTTGCGTTACGAGGCAGAAGGACTGCTCGTATAAAAATTTCCCTGAGGCTTGTCCTACCTTGTATTATACCAGCAGTAACGCTGTCCGTCTGCTAAGGTACCGTCCGGTTATAGTGCATGGAACAGCAATTGCATAGCAGTGGAGGCGGTGGCTGTAATTCTCGCAACAAACAACATGTCTTGCACGTCTTTTAGTTCACAAGGGGCACAGGCATCGAGGGTGGACATCCCATCAGCGCGAGCTTGCTCTCTACACGAAGTTTCGACGGGGAATGAAATAAGCCGAGTTGGGCCGTGGGTTCCCTTCTGAATGGCCTTCGGAGTAATATTTCACAGTATAAGTCCGGGGTGATTCAATATCCGAAAGGTGGGAACAGCGTCAGCTCCAAATTAAAAACCTTTTTATTAACAACCCTACAGCTATCGACACCTCTCACTGCATCAGGCCATTGCGCCGGCCGTACACTGTACTATGATCAGTTGGGCTTAGTTCTTGATTACAAAGTGAATCATGCAATCGCCTCTCTGAGATAGTATTAGTTATATTTAGAGATCAGTAGAGACAGTAATAATCCCTGTGATAGCTTAGATGGGTAACGTATTTGCCTCCTCATTTTAGGGATGCGTTGTGGTTTAGGTTTGAACTCATGCATGGGCACGCTTCCTGTCGTGCTGCGTGCTGTCCATCTAATGGAATGCCGAACGGCAATCGCGGCCATAAAACTCAAAATACAGGGGGATAGTAGTACAAGCGCCGAACTTAAGGCTTGTCAAGGGACTACTGTTTATAGTTTGGTATTCTGGTAATAACACTTTTTCAGCAATGGTAAGTGACAGGGAAAAATCCGAGGTCTGATTCTTAGGCAGGGATTTGAAAATGGCCAGGATAGATGACTACAAAACAGCTAGTCCGCGCCAACGACAAGGCTTCCTTGACTTCGTTAAAAAGCGTTATAGCTTAATTCTCGCTGCCTTGATTCCGTCCATGCACCTTATACCTACTACTATTCCTCTAGTCAAGGATATATGAGACCATCTCTATGGGACGCTACTTGCGGCGCCAATTTTAAACTAGTTTTTGAATGTTCACCTCCTTAGAGTTTTACGTGCTTTTAGATTCAGTTGGCAATAACAAAAGTGAGTTCTCTACAGACGAATCTTAGTGATATAGTTAATTTGGGCGAAAATGACCTTCTAAACTGGATTTTCCTCTGACGGTGATTCCGGCCCGGTGATAATACCTAGGGTATCTAGGGATCGAAAGTTCCTAGTAAAATCAACAGAATGCAGAAGCTTTTTAGGACCGACCGTAACTGTGCATTTCTAGTTTCTCTTTTGGTAAAACAAATCTAAAGGGCGACTTAATATTAAGATTTCTAATAAACCACTTCCTTTCACAGAATAACACCCCACGTATTAGTAGAGGTAATACATCTCAGAGAAGCTTAAACTTTACGGAGTCATGAGAGTACCAGTTTTGTTAAATGGATGCTTACCCGCCCAAGTTTCATAGACTTTAGAATATAATTTTTTTTTTATTAATCTTAAGTTAATAGGAGACGATTCGGGTCCACTCCTGTTCGATAGGGGATAACATAAGCGATTATAATAAGTTATCTGGTTTATCATACGGCCTGTCCTATTAAACTATTGAATATATTTCTGTGTGCTGTGAAATTATCAAACAGTAACGGAATCTGTTTCTTATTTGCTGCTGTAGTTAACGAACATTTCGAAAGATTTTCAGTTTTCTGTTTATAGGGAAGATAATTGCTTGTAGCTTCTTCAAGCATGATCACTCTATGATGAGCTAGTGATCAGTTATGACACACTCAGATTATTTTTAACTACAGTGCAAAGTGGCGGTACTTTAAGATTTCTTTTGTTTCAACGAAACAAGCTACAAGTTATATCTAATTAAGTACTTTTTCACAAAAATCGTATTCGATTACTCTTTTGGTGACATTACATACGGCTTCTACTCTCAGCTGTTCTATATGAATCTGCCAGTATCTGTTTATCTACGTTACTAATTAGCTTAAACAAGCCAAGAGGGCATTAACCATCGACTCGATTGTACTGCCCGTTAAAAGTGTAATACGTGCATATAGAACAGTACTGGTTATGGTCAGAATAATGAAACAAAAACTGCAGAAGTTTGCACTAAATAAAGGTAAAATTCACCCTTAATTCTAGAACTTGATGATATTACCAATTTGATAACAAATATCAGTGAGCAGCCTTACCCATACGTTTTCTTAACAGAAACATTGTTTCGCTGACCTGTTTTTCTCAAATTATTTTTTTTTTTTTGGGGGGGGGGTCAAGGCGTTGTTTAGGAGTGTTATTTGAAGATCAGGATACCTACTGCTTTATGCGTACACATATGGATGGTAGTGACTGCACTACGACATGGTTTTTGGTTCAGCAAGAAAAAGCATTCAGCTCTCCCCCAAGCTCCTGACTTTTCTACAAATCCTCACATTTGCCTGTACCTCATGCGCCCCTCCTACCACAGTCCTGGCTGTCACAGGTGTTGCCCCTCTCACAGCTCCAGGAAAGCTATTACAAAAGGATACGGGTCACGTCACCAGCTGGGCCAACTGATTAGTAAGCCGAATCATTGTGCACTCACACAACTTAGCTAGAATCACCCTCATCAGCGCTACCCGTCATTGAAGCAAAAACATCCAATTCTAGCTGCTATACTAATGCAATCAAACCGATTCATTTGTTTACTTACGCTGATGCTTGCAGATGTCGAGGTCGACATCGTTCGAACTTCGATTTGGAAATCGGTACGTAAGCAATTCGTCGACACTGAACGAGGCGTATGTTTGTGCCACTTGGTCGCCGTTGAGCATGATCAATGCCACGAACATAGCAGGCAAGGCATGCATCCCGATGCAAGCCTTCATTTTGATAATGATGTGAAGAAGCGGTCGTCGTACACTGAGCACACACACACAATTACACACCGCCACTGCCCCAGAACGTACTCCAATCGCGTTCACGATAGCGCAATACCCCTTGTTGTCGGCGGCAAAGATAATTACAGTCGAAAGGGTCGCAGCAGCAATGACGGGCTTCCGCTATCAACCTTAATATCCACACGCCGTGAAATTTTGCTTCGGTTCTATTCACTCGTCGTTTCGTCCTTGCGACCTCGCTCACTATCCACAATATTCCACGTTTGCTCTTTTTTTTTTTTTCTATCTATTTACGCTTTTCACTCCGAATCTGCACTTCACTATTAATTTCGCTGGTTTCCTTGCTCTTTCCGCTAACCACAACCAACGTAGCGTAACTTCAGCACTCTCTACGCAGCCACCAACGCAACTGGCACCACTTCTACGACTACCCCCTAATAACAAACAAACACTTGCCCCCACAAAGCCGCTGAGCCGTACGGCTCCCACGCGGCGCCCCAGCAAATTTTTTTAGCCGCCACCGGGGCACGGGGCTATCCCACTGAACATCGCGACTTGTGGAGCCCTACTGAGGGTCGCATTGTGTTTGTCCTATCGGCGTACACTTCTTTGCAGGCTATCGACGACTGCGATCACAATAATGGTGGGACTATTAGTCAACCTGAAACTTTGATTTCATATGAGTACAAGGTATTGTATTATTGCCTGTAACAGTTAGGATGCCGGTACGTATAAGATTTAATTGCCAGCAGGCTTATTGAGCAGCTGATAGCGTTTGACCATGTGTGTTTGAGAAGTCGGGCTCTGTTGCCATCGCTCGATATCTGCTTGATGCTCACGCTACCGATGGCGGCATAAGAAAGTGATTGTCTTAAGTGTGAATGTAGAGTTGCGCTGGATAGCTGCAACGTTCTCGTTTCTACCAGCAGACTCCTCCACTGTTTCGCAGTCCTCCGTTCATTTGGTGTTGTTCGGCGCGTTGCTTATCTCCCGTCGATGAACTCGCCTGCCGCCACCAATCTTCTCGTTGGTCTCTCACGTGCGCGGTGTCGCCGCATCCTCCGTCCTGCAATTTCGACGACGATGATGAGGACCCTCTCCTAATACCCTCGCCTACAGGTTGTACCCTCTCTAACCAAGAGGAAAGGATGAGGAGGAAACCCCAGAAAGGGGATGTATAATACAGCCCATATGAGGGGTTCATTTTTCCAGGCAGATGTGTCCTGCTAATACTATTTGTACGGATTTGCTCATTCGCTTGCATATATCAGTAATAGGTTTTGGATTTATTTGAAGCGGGCGCTGGATCGATTATTGAAGCAAATCTTTTTTGTCCACGCTCACATAAGTGGCTCGTTAGGTCGAACGATTGATTTATTAAAATTTATTTACCCGGGAAATATTTATATTCGTTGGAAAAGAAAGTGAGAGTGGCAGTTGTAACGGTGCGGCCACTAGAAAGGTACTGTTCCAACCCTCACAAATCAAAAGCAACTTATTTCAAGTATGATCTTCTCTTTGTTTCCAAACCGAGGAGGATTTGTAACTAAGAAATGATCATAATATATTATTACTATTTATAGTCCTCTCAATCGGACCTTCCGAACGATCCATATGAACATGTTTTATTAGAAAAAAAATTAATAGAAAAAGCTAGTTCAGTGACACAGGGAAGATTGATTTCCGTTCACATGTATCTTTGCGGATTCGAACCGGAGGACTAGCAACTCAGGGTCCTTGCTTTTACCCGTGCTTCTTCTACTTAGTCCCCTTTGTCCTTTATTCGTTCCAAGAATAAATAATTACTAATTTTAAACAAACCTGCATTTGTGTCCCTTCATTACATCCATTGTTAAGGAAACGTTCAAACACGTCGGCAAATCCGATTGAGACGACGCGATCAAAGTAGAATCTTCACAGTCTATTTCGATCTCTTGTTAATCATCTAAACGAACCGTCTTCGGGACCAGTAGCTTTGCAAGTAAACTAGATAGACTGTTAGTAAGTCTTCAGTTGCCAGACTAGATTGCTAACGAACATGTGGCCGTATGAAGAGATGTAAGGGATTTGGGTAGTTGACAGGAGACTGGGTAGGGTAACTCATATGAAACGTTTCGATGTATTTCTAAAAGGTATCACGTTGCTTTCGAATATTGTTTCTCGACCCAATTATAGATATGGGTTAACATTTGAGATTACGACCAACTCAAGGTCGTCAAAAAAATCTAGCTTCTAAGTGTCAGCAACTGACCATGCCTGAACGTCTGAAGAAACAATTCTTAAATTATGCAGGTCGCCACATTAGTTCTGTTTGGGTTAGTATAGCAATAGTCATCTGAACCCCACTATAGGCCGACCATCATAAATGCGTTGGTAATTTACTCTCCCTTTCGCTTGAAGTGCCTTCTTCGACTTCAGTCTCATATTTTGCTGCATTGGTTAAGGGTGGTCGCTGGCGAACAGTTAGCGTCGACAGACACACCTAAATCAGTTGAGTTCGGACTCATTGGCCGTAATACTGCACCGACTAATATGGCTCCTTGGGTGATTACGCGTATAAATGGTAAAGCCGTCTTAAACTAGATAATGCGAACATTGCAAGAGTTACTTCGATCTCTCGCTAAACACTCCAGTAAAAGAAGACTAAAAATAAACGTACTAGTAAAAGTCATATCGATCGCTTGTCTGAATTTGTTTACGAATTTTTGCGTGTCTTATTAAAAAAAAAAAAGCAGTGACTTTTAGAAAGCACGCTTAACAGCGATATCTAGGAAGTGTTCGTATCGTATAATGTTGAAACAGCCGTGCAAGTCATCGTGTCAGGCAGCCAGATTTAGAATCTGGTTTATTTATATGTACATTAGACGTTTATAAGCTATGCATTGGCCTAAGAGTTGGCGGTTAAAGAGGGAAATTATCATCTGATATTACTAAACGATGTTAGGTCAGTGCTGCTCTAAGATTCCACTAGAATCTATAGAACAAACCAACAGATCTGCATGCGCAATGTAACAGTGCCGATACTAAATATTTTTAAGCGCTAAACATGTTAAGCACATGTTTGCGCTTTTTCTTATGACAGCATATACGAATTACTGCATAAATACATAAAAAAAAAAAACAAATAAATACCAACAACAATTAACTCGAAAGGCAACAGAAACAGTATAAATGTGACAATAAGGTATATTAGTAAATGATCTCTGCCGTAAGTAAATCGGCCCGTAGCTGAAAAATGAAGGGAATCCAAGCGTCTGTTAGCAAAAGAAGAGGGAAAAACAGAAGAATGTAAAGGTTTCTTAGAATATTGCAGCGAATCGAGTAGATACCTGGATCATATTCATGGTAAAGTGGACACCATCACCGAATGCTTAAGGCATCATGTAAACCATCTATTGATGCCGATGTTCCAAACTATATAGAAACCATTTGCGGTGGTCTTCTGTGGATTAGATAACCTCGACATTTTTTACGCTTTTTAACACGATATAATGCTGGTTTTGAGTACGACCCGCGGTTTTATGTAGCATAGTATGAACAATACGAGTGTTGCCTTCAGGCCTGTACTTCCTCACAGGCATTACATTACGTAATGTCACTGAAAACGAGGTTCGATAAATGATTGAGATCAAAAGCTATTCTAAGGAACGCTCATACTTTCCGAAAAGATGATCTAGGAAAAAGTCGATCAGAATCTACGATTGAAACATACCCTAACATTTCGAACACTCCCTCTAATGCCACTATACCACAGCTAATCGTTTACGAATTGATTTGTAGGGAATCCAAGACGGACTAGAATTAGAATTAGATCTACTAATTAATTTTAATTAGCCCCTGTGTCGTAAGTCTGTAAAGAGTTCGAGCCTCGAAATAAACACCTTACACTTTATGCTCATTTATGATCATTTTTTAGTTATTCAATCCCTGCAAGCAGTTTTCCTGAAATTTCCAACAGGAGAAGTAAAATATGCGACGGTATATGAAGCATCTTACTACAAGTGCTTGTCACCAATTAACCGGTTGTCATTGATAAAAACAATATATTTGTTCTTAACCGACAGGGCTAAATAACGCACCGTACACCAACAATTTGTTCGGGGTAAATGAGATTTATATCTATCTACATGTTCACGGTACGTAAAAATCTACAATGCTACTGGAACGAAAACGCCAAAAATACGTATCGAATTCGTACGGAATTACGTTTCTTGCCGGCGGAGAGAAGACATTGCCCCGACGCGACTGTAGCGTCGAAATGTCTCACGGCAAGAGGCAGGGACAGTGTTAGGTTGTCGTTCTTCTTCATTCAACTCTTCTGTGTCGGCGCGCTTCCTACGAAGCTGGCTAAAGCCTGCACATAGATATGTTCACGCTGGGTCTAAGAGGTACGCACGTCCTGGCTTCGGACACAGGCGCCATCTTGTTGGCAGCTTAACGGAAGCAACTCGTCAATGAAGCTGCTTCAAAAATAACACGATGCAGTTATCAACATAGAATCTTAGAAAGATAGAATAGGACATAGGATTGGACCGCCATCTGCGCATAGCAAATGATGAAGTAGGTTATATATGCGATACAGATTTGGAACATTAGAGCCCTGGATTCGTTTTCAGTCATTAAGTTGTTATTTTGAAGAAGCATGAAATACTTTTTTAAATATTAATATGGCCTCCTGTAGATTGATTAGCTTATTATGGATTAGCAGTTAACTTTGTGAAAGGCTAAAATTGATTACAAGACAAGGATTATACATTTTTGTATTTAATGTTACGACATTCGCGTACCGAAGCAAAATGCTGGGAGTTTGCGTCGACAATGCCCTATCATCGTTGATCACATTTGTTATCTCTTTCTGTTAACACCAATATATAACTCACTATATTACATATACATATATACATTAGTAAATAATTTTAGCTACCTTAGTAACTGAGTATCCGAGTGGTTCGTTGCCAGTTCCTTGTGCATTTTTCGGAATGGGTCAGAGTATAAAATTTTTTAAGTTAGGCAGCGCTCTCTGCTTAAAGTGAGATGTCTGCGTCAAATTAGGAATGTTTGTTATAATCAAATGTGATTGTCAAATGCCGTATAGGAGGAAAAGAGTTCTGGCAAATCAGTGATCGGTCAAACGGATGATCCCCTCAATGGGGGACTTGGACGCTCATTGTTACGTTGTTATCGATCGGACATCTTCACTTATCGTTGGATGGACTACAGTAAATTAGGCACCATAACATCCAATTAGTACGCAGCTTATTACCACACATTTTTCATACCTTATTAGTTAATAATATCAAAATGGCTTCTTTCAAGCAAATGGCTTCTTTGGTGGACAAAGTGTGACGTCTTAAGAAACCTTTACGTAATTCCGACCAATGCTCGTATGCCATTAACATGACTAACTCTATAAACCAGTTAGTTATCTTGTTCACCTTCAGGAAACACTGCTAAATAAACTGGGTTGGGGTCGCATGCCCAACAGGATCTGAAGTATGCTGAATAATTGGCCGTACCAAACTTAAATATGTTCAACGGCTACGCATAGATCAACCTCTTGCTACTTTATTTCCGTCGCTTGTCATCACCTGTAGAGCTGTTACACGCTCTGAGTTCTCTTCGAAGAGAATGTTTGCATAATCCTGCCGCCTCTTCTACATATTGAAACTGGCCGCCTACATTCAACATGATGATATTTAGCGAACCTACTGTCGTTTGCATGTAATTTTTTCTAACGTGTACAGGATATTCTATTAGGTTGGCTTTGAAATAGGATTTTTCTCTTCTAATTATCCATCTTTGTATCTCTGCACACGCTTTTTCTGGCTATGTAAAACCGGACATTTTCAATGGTGATCTATAAAACAATTTCTGAAGAGTTCTGAGTGGTACAAACTGAGTAGTACAACCATAAAATAATGCACGAGATATTTATACTGAATTCAGCCAATTTTTTTCACCACCTGTGTTTTTTAAAGAATGGAGAAAAATCAAAATTGGCCAA